TGTACATGTGTGTTTGTGTGTTAATATTTACATTGACACACATTGGATCCGGTTGCATCACGGAAATCACGGTGCCGAAAACACAGGCAGTGGGTTTCATAAGTAGCCAACATTCTGGGCATGCAGTGTGTAGGCCGCAGATGCGCAAACAACCATAGGTGGTGACAAAACTCTGTTCCTCCCCTTTGCAAAGTTATTTTGTGTAAACTTTTTTAGCCTTTTTGCCATTTTCCAATGTCCATAATTGTCTTTTTATTTGCTTTATCTAGATGGTAATACTTTATTTCCATGTATAGACTCCATATCATTTCTCTATATAGTAAATAACTTAGTGCAAGAAAAAAAAGTATGGAAAGTTTGGTCATATGTCATATATCTGATTTTTTTGTAATTTTTCAAATTCCTGTAATACAACCTGCACCGCTGGTCACAGCAGCCAGGAATAAGGTGCACAGCATGGAAATGGTGTCCTATCTGGAGCAGGCATTCTCCCAGTCACAGCTTATGCATGTTACCTTACACATTGGTTTATTGATAGGAATGATGCTAAAGTTGGCATCAACCAGCCCACGGCCATTTTCCCTTTGATAGGCCGTCACCTGGCCCTCGACCCAGATTTTTCCATGTCGTGACTTTAACATCATCTGGATTGTCGGGGTTAATGTGTGTGTGTGTGTGTGTGTGTGTGTGTGTGTGTGCGTTGTGTGTGTGTGTGTTCTGTGTTTTGTGAATGTATGTATAGGTATCTCCCTCCCTCCTTCACCTCCTCCTCTCTCTGTGTCTCTTTCAGCTACTCTCTCTTTGTCTCTCTCACATCCTTTTCTCTCTCCCTCTCTCTCCCTCTTCCTCCCTTCCTCTTATCACTTTTTAACCCCACTTTATCTCCATCCCACCAGGCTTCATCTGCCCTGTACACACGCCCGACGGTGCCCCATGTGGCTTGCTCAACCATCTGGCAGAGAACTGTGTAGTAGTGACCACGCAACCTGAGAACCCCAATCAAATTCGGTTAGTGTTGAACCAACTGGGTATGACCGCCGTTGACAGCCCACCCCTTGCGCCCTATTCTGAGTGCCTTGAGGTGGTGCTCGACGGCAGCTTCATCGGCTACATCAGGAACGACGAGGCGGACGAGTTTGCACTCAAGCTCAGGACCATGAAGGCCACAGGAGAGGTGGGTATGGTGGCAGATAGGTAGACCAGACGGATGGGTAATGGAGTTGTATGGCTGAAGATGGTATATTTTATTTTTCCCTTGTGTGTGTGGTTATTTTGATTTTATTAATTTTATGAATTTCATCTAGCTTAGAAAGGGCACTGCAGTTTTTGCCTTGAAATTTCAGCAAAATTAAGAGCATCCAGATCAATTTTAGCTTTTTTGAAGGGTATCAAACCAATCACAATAAACCCAGGGGGCATCAAGCCAATTGTGTAAAAACATGTATAAATGATATAAGAATGGATTTACATGTACATTAAAGCATTATTTTCTATTAATATGTGCCAAAGCCATACATGAAAACAAGTGGTGGATTCTCTCTGTGTTGATGGCCGCTGTCCTGCTGATACTGGCCACATCTAATCTGCACAGCTATCGCATTGACCAAAAGGGCATGGCAACAATGTGCAGTTAGGGTCACAGCAATTCATTGCCATAAAAATCTTCATAGTCTTAGGGCACTGCGGCAAATTGAAACGATAATTGCCACTGTGAATTTCTGCCCTGCACCTTGTTACCATTAGTGTTACCATCCAAAATTTACTTAAGACAGACTTTATGTACAATTATTCAAGATCAAAGATGATGATATCTTAACCGTAGCGAGCTAGGTTTGTACCATTTCTGGCCCTTAAAATGCCATCTCAGGTGAAATTCAGCCCTGCTCTGGACCTTAAAGTGCCAGAAATCCCTCAAAAAAGAAAAAAATCTACCTGTTCTTCCAATACTACGTCCTTCCATAATATAAAACATGAATGAATAGATAGATAGTTGATTCAAAAGTCTTTCTTCACCCACTTACCTCCTCTCTCCTCTCAGATCTTCAAATACACAGAGATCGTTCTGATTCCACGGCGGAAGTTTGGGGGCCAGTACGCTGGGCTCTTCCTGGCCACATCAATCACCAGAATGATGCGACCGGTTATCAACTTGTCCACCAACACCGTGGAGTACGTGGGGTCCCTGGAGCAGCTGTACCTCAATGTGGCCGTCTCTCCTGAGGGCATCGAGGAAGGGGTGAGTAGGAGGGGCGTGTGGGGTAGGATTAGGAGGGGGTAGGAGGAATATTGAGTGCATGTTGGAGGGGGGATTTTGTGTTGTGTGTGTGTGTGTGTGTGTGTGTGTGTGTGTTTGTAAGATTTAGTGAGTGAGTGAGAATGAGAGTATGGTTTGGGTGTGCAAGTGAGTGTGAGGTATCTGATGTCTAGATATGTTCATGACCATTATAGAAATTGTAGAGTGTTATAGAGAGTTGTAAAAGGCTCTTTCTATTGATGTCTTTGCTACCTAGCCTAAAATTTGGCATTCTGATAGATTCTGCTTATTCTGCATAAAAGACATGGCCGGCTTAGTCAGAACATATTTCATATAACCATTATAAAGTCTTGTCTTGAATATCCAGAATATATTTCTTATAATGGAAATGCAGCAACAAGACTTGCTAAGGAAATTTCGACAGGCTTGTGAACAAATCATGGATACTTTGATAGTTTTCTTAAGTTAGAATTAAGTTGTTAATAATCTAATCACCTGATGTGACAGAATTGTTAAGATTTTGAATTTTTATGTTATTTTATTTATTTAGTGTTTATGTTTATGCTTGATATTAGATGTTTATATATTCATAACATGTAGATTAATACCTACAAATATATCAGCCTTTGAAACTGTCTCACTCTCGTCTCTCTCTCTCTCTTCTCTCTCTCTCTCTCTCTCTCTCTCTCTCTCTCTCTCTCTCTCTCTCTCTCTCTCTCTCTCTCTCTCTCTCTCTCTGGCCCTAATTATAATTTCCTTCCACCCCTCTCCTATGTATAGGTCCACACGCACTTGGAGGTGTCCAAGACAGCAATCCTAAGTAACATCGGCAAGTTGGTTCCCTTCTCAGACTGCAATCCCAACCCGCGTAACATGTACCAGTGTCAGGTGAGTTTGACTGGACAAGAAGAGTATAGGAAGGTTACGAGAAGGACAAGGTTGTTTTTATTATTATGCTTATGTTCAGGTTTCTGTAGTTGTGGCCTCACCAGCAGCAACATTAAAATCATCGGGATTACTGTTATTATTAATGTTTATTAATGCTGATAATAAGTACTGCCCAAGAATTCTTTATTCAGCACATACCATTTGGGGGGAAAATACGTGATTAGTTTACCATTGATATGATGTTTATAATTTTTTTCTTTAAATAGAAATTGTTAGCATATATTTTTTTCAATTATTTTCCTAATGACTTCCTACCTAATTTCCCTCTGATAAGATGCCAGCACTAAATTTGTTCTCTAGTTTCCTTTTGCATGATGTTTATTGCCGAGGCCATTCAATCTTCAGATGGGCAAGCAGACGATGGGAACGCCATTCCATAACTGGAGGACCCAGACTGCCAACAAGATCTACCGCCTTCAGTACCCGCAGGTTCCTCTGGTTCGGAATGCCCACTACGACAAGATCAACATGGAGGAGTTCTGCATGGGATTCAATGCCGTCGTAGCCATCATCTCCTACACGGTGAGGCTGATTTCTTAATGATTTGCGTTTTTTTTAGTTTAGTTTAGTTTGTAAACTTGCTATTTGTTTATGTTTTATGTATGGGTTTTAGTATTGTCAATTTTTTGTCCCATATACCGAAGCCACATGTGATTCTCATACTTCATCTCCTCTTTAGGGCTATGACATGGAAGATGCTATGGTGCTCAACAAGTGCTCCATGGAGAGGGGTCTCGCTCACGGACAAATCTACAAGACGGAAGTTGTTGATCTCACGCAGCAGCAACAGGGCAAGAGGCAGGCAGTAGAGGTATGGGAGAAGCTTTTACAAATTAGGTTTGAGAATAAATTTGCATTAATTAGGAGTCACATTTTGATGATGAACTTGGATATGGCAAAATAACATTTTAATTAATATTAACATTGAAAGATTATCCTCAAGAAAAGGTATATAGAGAGAGAGTGTATAATTAAATAAGAGAGAAACACAGAACCCTATAGGTTACATATATAGTAATGAATCATACACATCCCAGCCCAATCATTACACGGTCAATGTAACAAGAGTGACAGACACCCCTTCAAGATAATGAAAGACATTTTTAAACATTAGTAAAGAATAAGAGCTAAGGTCTATTATTCCCCCAGGTAACCCACATGTTCAGGAGGAACCCACAGGAACCCGGCCAGAAAGCCTTCCTCGACAAGTATGGCCTGCCTCACCCCGGGACGCAGCTCACTGAAGGAGACCCTTATTATTGGTTTGTATGGTGGCGTCATGTTGATGGGCTCTGTGGGGTAGTTAGGGTTTGGTATCAGGGTGGGTTATGGTTGATGGAATATTGTATCAGTATTGAGCTTGAGCCTAACTTCACCCTCCAGCTTCAGTTTTATTTGCATAACTTCCTTGTGTTTTACCCCATCCACCTTTTGTTTTACCTACAATTATCCTGTTCCACTCCTGATGTCCACTTGGCACATACACCACTTCACTTTTTCCTCTTTGACTTTAATCTTTCCCCTCTTTCACATAACACACCAAGCCTTCTTTGCTCCACCCACCACTCGTGAAACCCAAGTGCCACCCTTTGGCACCCATCCTCTGTACCCCTCCCATGTTAACCATAATATCCCCCCAGTTTACCCGCAAACTTCCCTGCTTATCATCCATATCTTCACTTTGTTTCCCCCACAACTTCCTCCAGTTTGACCACCTCTTCTCCTCATCGACAGCGTGTATGACCTCAGGCAGCGCATTTACCGGCTGACAAAATATAAGGGCGAAGACTGCGTGGTTGACAAGTACACCATCATGGCTGCCACCATGGCAGGTGAAGAGTGCCAGCGAGCTTGTATTACCATAAGAATTAAGGTAAGTCAAAGAATAAGTAAGAATCGGAGAGGGAGAGAGAGAGAGAGACAGCGAAAGAGAGAAGAGATAGATCGATAGAGAGAAGAGATAGATAGAGTGAGAAGAGATAGATAGAGAGATAGAGAGAGAGATAGATGGATGAAGAGAGAGAAGAGATAGATAGATAGATAGAAGGGATAGATAGAGAGAGAGAAGAGAAAGAGAGAGAAAGGGAGAGGGAAAGGGAAAGAGGAAAAGTAAGACAGAGAGAGAGAGAGAGAGTGAATGTGTGTGACCTTGTCTACATGTATGTAGACTATATCCAAATATGTGTACATAGCTATACCTATTGTTATTTTCACCTGAATACATATCCTGTTCCCTCCCCAGAGAAACCCCATCATCGGAGACAAGTTCGCTAGTCGCAGTGGGCAGAAGGGCATCATGAGCCGCTTGTACCCCGTGGAGGACCTGCCCTTCTCCGAGCGGGGCATCATGCCCGATATTATCTTCAACCCGCACGGAATTCCCTCTAGGATGACAGCAGGTGATAGCATACTTCACTCTTCTCTTATGTTCTTTCTCTTCCCTTCTGTTCTCTTTTCTTTACTCTTTTTATCTTCTTATCAGTTTATTTCTCTCCTCTATTCTTGTCACTCCTCTCTCTCTCTCTCTCTCTCTCTCTCTCTTCTCTCTTCTCTCTCTCTCTCTCTCTCTCTCTCTCTCTCTCTCTCTCTCTCTCTCTCTCTCTCTCTCTCTCTCTCTCTCTCTCTCTCTCTCTCTCTTTCTCTCCTTCTTATCTCTCTCTTCTCTCTCTCTCTCTTCTCTCTCTCTCTCTCTCTCTCTCTCTCTCTCTCTCTCTCTCTCTCTCTCTCTCTCTCTCTCTCTCTCTCTCTCTCTCTCTCTCTCTCTTCTTCTCTCTCTCTCTCTCTCTCTCTCTCGCTCATTTCATTTTGTTTATTTCTTTCTGTGTTCTCCATGATTCCACCTCCCTACTTTCTTCCATTACATTTTATTTTGATTTAGGAGGCGGGTCATTTCTTTCCCTTTATGTTGTTCTGCTTTCCTAATTTTTGCATTCCCCACCTTCTTTAATCCTCTTTCTGTGCTCTTTATCACCACTTCCCTGTCTTCTGTCCTCCTTTTTCCTAATGTAACCCATGTTTCTTTCCATATTTTTCCAGGAAAACTGATCGAGCTTGTGGCGGGCAAGTCAGCGGCTGAGTTCGGGAAGTCCTTTGACTCGACACCCTTTGAATTCTCGGATGAAAACCCGGCAGTTGATTACTTCGGGAAGATTTTGGAGAAAGGTGAGGTTGTTTGCGTCTGTGTTTACGTTTTGTTTATGCGATGGGAGGAGTGTTGTTTGTATGAGAGATGAGGTTGTTAGTGTGTTTCTTTACGTGTAATTTGTATGGCTTGGAATTCTCGAGAAAGATGAGGTTGTTTGTGTGATTTTTTACAGGATGAGAAGTACATTGTTTGTATGACATGAAATTCTTGAAGAAGTGAGGTTGTTTGTGTAAGTTTGTGTGCATATGTGACGGGAGATGTATTATATGTATGGCTGTTTAGGTAAGGGGAGGTTTGGGTTTCATATGACTGTTTGTTTGGATGTGACTGTGTATTTGTGTATGGAAAGCGAGGTGTTTACATGGTTATTTTTTGTAGTGATTATATTATTGTGTTTGTATTTTTGAGCAAATAACTAGGGAATCTGTTAGCATAGATGTTTCATTCATGCCGATTCACTTGTCTGTTAGAGATTACCTAATTTTGGAATGCACTTTAGTTTATTTTGTTTTATTTTTTTTTTTTATTTATTTTATTTTTTTTATTTTTTTTTTTTTTTTTTTCTAAATATGTCAAATAAGTATATACATTATGCATTGAAAAAATCATGATTATCGAGTCTCAAATAAAAACCTTTTCCCTGCTGACAGCTGGCTTCAACTATTATGGGGAGGATGTATTGTACAGTGGAACAGACGGGAGGATGCTGGACGTGCAGATCTTCGAGGGCATCATCTATTACCAGAGGCTGAGACACATGACGGCTGATAAGTGGCAGGTGAGTGTAGCATTTGGGAGTCGGTTGTTCATTTGTTGGTAGGGTTTTTTATGTGTGTGGTAGCAGCTCTCTCACTCTAGCTCTCTCATTTAACGAAAACTCAATGAACTAACAGGCCTCTTCTCCCTCACTTTCCCCCAGGTGCGAGCCACAGGGGCAATAGACTCGGTAACACGACAGCCAGTCAAGGGGCGCAAGAGGGGAGGTGCCATCCGGTTCGGGGAGATGGAGAGGGACTGCCTCATCTCCCACGGGGCTGTCTACACCCTGAAGGACCGGCTCCTCGACTGCTCGGATTGCTCCACGGTGAGTACGATAGAAGAACACTCCTGCAAAAGGGTTGTAGGATGGGGGATAGGGTTGAGGGTTTGGGGTTTAGCGATGGAAAGATGTGTGTAAGGATAGAGTTAGATGAATATATGTTTTGATAGAGTAATAATCATATATTTCTGCATGTGTTTCTGTCTGTCCATTCATCAGTCAACACATTATGCTTACATTTTATGGAAAAAAGAAATGCCATGTGACTGCAGACTTGAATCCTTCATTCTGATGCTGGATGGACATCTTAAGCCTAGAATTATCTTCCATGTGATTGTGGCCTTGAAGTCAATTCATTTTCGTGTAAAATGGGGGTGGTAATTGGTAACATAGATATTAAAGAATCACACACAAACACACAAATGTATGTATCATACTACGAATCTATGTGAATTCTATTCTGTTATGATTATTATTATCATCTTTATTGCTATTATTGTTATTCTGTCATTATTACTATTATCACTATCACTATTCTTTTTCGAGGAAAATACACTGCATTGAACTAGTTAGACCTCAATAAATGCCCAAAGTTTAGTTAAAAAGTATCCAAGGAGAGGTTAAGTAGGAAGGTAGAGAGAGAGAGAGAGAGAGAGAGAGAGAGAGAAGAGAGAGAGAGAGAGAGAGAGAGAGAGAGAGAGAGAGAGAGAGAGGGGGGGGGAAGAGGGTTTAAAGAGGAAAGGGAGATGGGGAAGAGAAATTGGAGGGGATTTAAGTGGAAAGGGATGAGGGGACTCCGAGAAAAAAAGGTCATTGGGTGAGGGAGGGAAGGGGATAAGGGAGTTGATGCGGCGGGGGGGGGGGGGGGTTAAAAGAAAGAAGAGGCAAGTGGGAAGAGTCAGATGTTGAGCTTAAAGTGGGAGGGAAGGCTAAAGATAGAAAGAAGGTAAAAGAGATAGAAACACCTCTTTTCCCGGTAATAATAATAAAGCATATTTTTCGTTGTTGTTGTTTTAGAAGTGCAATTATCACCATACCATAGATACTTCCGTATTAAATACATAAAGCTGACATATAGCATGTGCTGTTATGACATTTTGGTTTAACATCGACGGAGGTGCTTCGTTCTCAGACGGAAACACGGAAGATCATGTCACGTCGCTTATTTTAAGATGTTATTGGCAATCTTTCTTTTTCAAAACTCAGATCTTTTGGCGGGTGAACGAAGGGCAGATTGATCTACGCAGAATTCGATCTTGATTTTTCAAAGTTTCTAATGAGTGAACGTCAAAACAGGGCTTTCAATCCACTAATGGGTCGTGCGAAGGTCGTCCATGTACGGAGTGGCTTCCGGGGATGCACCGAAGGTATTCAGTTTCAATAACATATAAAACTTTTCCCGTACTTTAAGAAAGGTTTTATGGTAACCACTCCTTAATAGGTTCTTTCGCGGTCATTTTTTCCCCATTCACTAGGGTATTATTTGTATTCTGTTCACTGAAGCCCATTGCGACTCGTGGTCAAGGACGTCATTTAACAAGGTGCTGCCGTATCCTGGCTTGTATGCAAGTGCTATTGGCACATCGTCCTCAAGGTGCTGAATGTTTTCGTGCATAATATAATTCTCTTTAACCATTATTAGGAATAAAGATGGGCCGAGGACACTACCTTGAGGGACACCGCAATGTAGTTTCACTTGGTCAGAGATGTGGGTTTGTTGAAGTGTCCGGGGAAGTAATTTCCATGAAAAGAATGGGGTTCGTGAGGATCAGTGCCTTCTGTAGGTCAGTGTTTACGGTTGTGACCTCAGATCGCCTCTCTATATCTAAAATGACCTAATTGGTAAGATCAGCCAGGAAGTAGTTAATGGAGCTCCCTTCGATGGTTTGAAAATGATGGTCTAATTTCGATGCCAATAACTTTTTCATTCCCTAAGCAACAATTCGCCCGGGGATTTTTGAAACAGGAGAGGGGTCATGAAGATGGGTCGAAGGTCATCGAGAAAACTAGATGGACCTGTTTGATGACCGGAACTGTAACGACTCGCTCCCACGGTGCAGGAACCTCGGCCTCAGACATGGTGACGGAATTCTTGAAGATCTCGCGAAGTGGGAAGGGGGCGAGAACGGGGGCAGACTCTCGTGTGAACTTTGATGTGGTCAGGGCCAGATTTACTTTTTAAACTTTAAGACGTTGAGACTTTTTAAGCGAGGAATAGTTTGTTGGTGTTTGCAAAAATGATTGCTGGTGATGTTTGCAGTATTCTCAGACGAGTCGGCAGTGTTACTTCTCTTGTCACATATTATCTTCCTGATTTAGCTGTAGCATGCTTTGGAGTTTGCCTTCTGGGGTTTCTATCTATTAACTGTTGTCTTTAGCCACTTACTGTTGCATGCGTTGGGTGAGGGCATATATGTTTTAGGTGTGCGTGTGTGTGCGCGGGTGTCTGCATGCATTCATATGTATAGTTGAATATTTATAATTATTTGATTTGAAGTATATGCGTGTACATGAGTACGTGATTGTCAATGCGTGTTTATACATTTTTTTACCATCTATAGTATACTATAGAAGAAGACAACACGTGTAGTCTTCTTCTATAGTATACTATACCATCTGCTCTCGCGTATTATATGCGCATTAGTGTGTGAGTATGTCATCATGCACGTGCAGACGAGTTTCACGTGCTCTCGAACACGCACGCACTGCCTTCCCCTTCCCCATCCCCATCCCCATCCCCCATCCCCCATCCCCATCCCCATGCGTCACCCGCCGTCCCTCCCCGGCCTTCCTCCCCGGCCTTGTGCGCGCGCGGCCGGCGGGAGCGAGACTGGCTCTCTCCCGCGCGCGTGACCTTCAAAGTATATTAGTTCCTTTTTGTGCCGCCGGAGACATGAGGGGGGTGGGGGGTAGGTCGTGCTTTTAAGTTATTTATGATTCTATTAATTTGGTGTTTTTTTTTTTTTTTATCTTGTTTGAATGTTTTTTTGGGGGGTGTTATTGCTGATTTTATGTGAAGAAATCTTGTTTTCGTATTTTTTTTTTGGCTTGTTTTTCAGATTTTTTGGGTGTTATTGCTGATTTTATATGAAGAAATCTTGTTTTCGTGTTTTTTTTTTTTTTTTTTTTTTTTTGGCTTGTTTTAAGATTTTTTTTTTTTGCTGTGTTTGCATTATGTGTAGGTATTACAATTATTTTATTTTATTTTTTTAGCTTATTTATTTTCATTACCATAATCATTATTGTATTATTGTTGATGCTGCTAGTGTTGCTATTATCTTCATTAGTAGTAGTAATAATAGTAGTAATGGCAATAGTAGTTGTTGTACTACTACTGATTCTGGTAATATTCGATATCGTTATTATTAGATTGATCATTTATATTTCTGTTGCTGTCACGATTATTATCATTTTATGACTATGGCTTTATTGTGATTGGACTGTGTTGTTGTTTTTTCTTGCTCCTTTTATCATTATTGTGTTTGTTGTTATTATTATGATTATTTATTATTGTTATATCATCTATTATTTTTGTTATTATTATCACTAATGCTATTATAATTATTAATTATTATTATTATTATTATATTATATTATTATTATTATTGTTATTATTATAATTATCATGAGCATCAGCAGCATTCTTATCATTATTATTATTATCACTATTGCTATTATTATTATTATTATTAATATTGTTGTTGTTGTTGTTGTCATTATTATTTTTGTTGTTGTTAATGTCATCATCATTGTCATCATTATCACTTTTATTATTATTATTATTATTATTATTATTATTATTATTATTATTATTATTGCTACCAGTTTATTATTATCATCCATTTCCAAATTATTATGACTTCTGCCTGTACTCTTCCTGGCATCAATCCATATATGGGATAATCATAAGAGGAAGAGGAAGGGGAAGAGAAAGAGAGAATAAAAAAGGAAGACGGAAAAGATGAAGGTCATGTGGCTCTCAAGTGGGCGTCCGTCATGAGAGACAGACAGACAGGCAGAGAGACAGGTAGATAGGCAGACAGATAGATAGACAGACAGAGAGACAGGTAGATAGACAGACAGATAGGTTGATAGACAGACAGACAGGTAGATAGACAGACAGACAGGTAGATAGACAGACAGGTAGATAGGCAGACAGACAGACAGACAGATAGATAGACAGGCAAACAGGTAGATAGACAGACAGACAAACAAACAACGAGACAGGCAGAGAAACAGAGAGGCAGAGAGTATTATAGAATTAAACTGAGGTAGATAATTAAAAAAGGTAAGAACGGGGAAAAAGTAAGTAAAAAAGAGAGACAAACAGACAAAGATAAACGGGTTAGAGCTGAAATGGAGGTAGAATGAGAGAGGAGAGAGAGAGAGAGAGAGAGAGAGAGAGAGAGAGAGAGAGAGAGAAGAGGGGGGGGGGGCAAGTAAGATAGGAGGGGAGAGGCAGAAAGGGAGACGAAGAGTGAGAGTGAAAGGGCGAGAGGGAGAGAGCAAGACGCGGAGGAGTGGCGAGAGAAGGGGAGATACGCGTCCCACATACTTAAACGTCACATGTAGGTCAGATTCTAGGAAGGGAGGGGAAGGGAGAGGGAGGGCCAGAGCAAGAGCAGGGGAGGGGGAGGGGAGGCCAAGAGCAAGGGAGGGGAGGGGCAGGGAAGGGTTATTGGGAAGGGTGGGGCCAGGGAGGGGTGAGGAGGGGCCGAGGGCGGGGAGGGAGGGGAGGGGCCAAGGGCAAGGGCGGGGAGGGGAGGGGAGGGGAGAGGGAGGGAGAGCAAGGGTGCCAGAGAGAGTGCCAAGCTCGAAAACAAGAGACGCGCTGCTCCTCATGTGCCTCGTAATCACACGGTAGTTTTGAGGTCAGTCGCTTGCTGGTTGCAGGATGGTGACGAAGGGGGTGGGGAGGGAGGGAGGGAGTGGGGGGGGAGTTACTGGTGTGTTGGAGAAAATGGGAAAATATTAGGGGGGGGGGGGGGGAATTCGGATTATAAGGTGGGTGGTTGTTGCCCTCGTAGCACAAAGGCGGTAAGGAAAATTGAGGAATACAAGGTGGGAGGGCTGTCATAGGTGCTGTTGTGGTTAGAGGGAGCGCTGGGAGGAGGGAGCGCTGGGGATGGGCAAGGATAGGCCGGGGGAAGGACAGTGCGAGAGAGAAAGGAGGCAGAGTGTGAGAGAGAGAGAGAGGAGAGGGAGAGAGAGAGAGAGAGAGAGAGAGAGAGAGAGAGAGAGAGAGAGAGAGAGAGAGAGAGAGAGGCAGACAGACAAGAAGAAAAAAGGCAGATAACAAAAAGAGAGAGGAAGTGGGGGTAGGAAACAAAGCGAAGAGACAGAAAAGAGAGAGCAGAAGAGAAAAGATAATATACCGATCGAAGAGAGAGGAGGAGAGGCAGACAGAACGACAGAGAAACCCCCAAAGATGCACGCAACGCCCCCCCCCCACGCAATACTGGGGGGGATGAGTCACGTGTATTTTCTTAAATAAAAAAAAAAGAAATAATAAATGCCATCGGGAGCAGTAGTGTCCCATGCCACACTCACACGCGCACGCACTTCACATGGCAGTAATAGAGGGCCTCACGGGTTGGCAACGTGCTAGACTCGCCGGGAGACTGGGTATCGATTGAGAACGAGATTGCGAGAGCTACGCCAGGGGGAGCGTCTCTGAGACGGGAGGGGAAGGGAGGGTAGAAGGGGAGGGAGAAAGAAGGGAGAGAAAGAGGGGGATGGGGGGGAGGGGGGGGATGAAGGGGAGGGTGGAAGCGTGAGAAAGGGGAGGGATGGGAGAGAGAGGGTGAAAAAGGGAAGAGAGTGGGAGGGAGAGAGAGAAGAGAGGGGAAAATGAAAAGGGAATGAGGGAAGGGAGGAGAGAGAGGGATGAGGGAGGGAAAGAGAGAAAAATAGAGAGGGAACAGAGGATACAGGGGGGGTGAGGGTGGGGAGGTA